GAGAGGATTCACCAGAGACAGAGCAGGGAGCAGAACAGGCAGATCAACGAAGTACACGGCTGAGGGGAGCAGCGGGCGGGTCAGGAGAGGTCTGCCATGCCACGTGGTCACCTCCGGGGCAGGCGGGGATCAAACTCATGAGGAAGTGGCTTAAGTTTCTTAGTGCTGTGCTTTAACCCGCTGCGCCACCAGGGAGGGCCCTTCCTTTTTTTTTTTATCCATCCCTTCATTCATCATGCTGTTTCTGCCCCCAGCCCAGACAGGTCCCCCAAGAGAAAAGGGTAACACTGAGTAACCAGAAAAACTCAGGTGTGAGAATTCTTAGTAGAATTGGGGAGAAAGAACTTGTCACTTGAGGTGGTGACTAACACTGGAGAGGCTAACGGCTACCTCTGTGGGGTGGGGACCCTGACTGGAGGGCCTAGTTGTGTGGGGTCACTAGGGTCTTGTCAGGTTGCGAGCCAGGATATGGACCTGATACATTCTGTGTCATTGGGTAAGTCACCACCTGTCACCGGGCTTCAGTTTTCCCAATAATTTGATCAGGAAGATGAGTCGCTGGGCTCCAAGCTTCTTCCAGCTTGAATGCTCTGAAGGTGTGATGGGTAGTGGTGAGGAAGGGGCAGGCCTGGGACCCTCTTCTGTGCCCCACACTGGGAAGTGGGCAGCATGTTCATTTGAATTTCCTGAGATGTCTCCAGTAGGCCAATGAGCTGCCAGGTGGAAGTTAAGCTGGAGCTGGCAGGCCTGTCCCCAAGAAACCCAGTAAGGTTTTTGTTAGGATTGTGCTGCTGGGATAGGACACCAGCTTCAAGGCTGTGAGCCTCCTCACATGAGCAGCGCAGGAAGGTCTTGTCCACTCAGCTCCCAGAGCCTCTGTGAGGAGCAGGCACAGCAGAGTGTGGGGCACATGGCAGCGCTCACCACGTGCACCTACTGTGTGTCAGGGGTTGGGCTAGTGCCTGGTGCCGTCATCTCACCCATGTTCAGAACACACCTGGGAGGAGGGTGTGTCATCTCTACCTGTGAGCCGAAGACCAAACCAGGGTTCACAGTGGCCCAGCTGTGAGGGGCAGGGGCTGGATGAAGTCGAGATGAAGTCTCTGGATCTGAAGTCGGGTTCTTTTCATGATATGTTCGGCTCTGGATGCCTAAGCGCTGGTGCCAGGCCCACTCCACAGATGGCAATGTTGGAACAGCTCACGTCTAACCCTCTACCCGAGACACCAGATGCTGTGGTGTTTCCCTGGCGGACGGAGGCCAGGCTCAGTAGTTGGCTTTCATTATGCCTAGAAATTCTGGATAGCTCAGTGCCTCATTCCCACATGCCCCTGAATACAGGAGAAATCTCCCCCAGGTCTAAGGGGTGAGTAAACCCTCACCTTCCTCAGTGGTCCCAGTTTTGGTCACCAGGGAGTCCCGGTTCATGGCCCTGGGTGACAATCACTGTGGTTGACCTTGTTTTGGTTCAGGTGGCAAAGCAAGTGAAGGAGAAGCATGTTGTGGAGTGGGAACCAGCGCTCCAAGCAGGCCTTGAGTAAAAATGTCCATCAGGGCTGCTCTTGGAGGCAAAGGCAGCCGATGAAGGCACTGGCTCTGGCCCTTGCAGTTGAGGAGATTTTCACCTTTCTGTGAAGCGGGGTTAATGACACTCACCTCTCGGGGGCCATGTGAGGGCTCATGAGACACTCCAGGGGAGGCGTCAAGCCCAGTGCAGGCTGGCACCGTCGGGCCTCAAGAAAGTCGCTATCTTCCTGGCCCTCACTTCTACCGTGACCTCTCTGTGTCCCCTCCTGCCTTGCAGTGCGGAAACAGGAAATTATAAAAGTGACAGAGCAGCTGATTGAAGCCATAAGCAATGGAGATTTTGAGTCTTACACGTGAGTCGGCTGGGCCCGTTCTGCATGTCCCGCCTGCGGGGCCGCTCAGGGGTGCTGAGTGACCAGCTTGGGGGTCGTTGGCTCTGCCCGCGCTTCCCTCCTGCATGTGCTGTGAACCAGCCCGCAGTCACGTTTCTGATTTGTGTTTGGACTTAATGCTTCAATGAAGCTTTCTGTTCACGATGCTTCTCTATACCTCAGTCCTCCACCTCTCCTGCCTCCTCCTCACATCTTTCTGGAAGAACTCCTTTGCTCCTCCAAGGAGAGAGGAGTGGGCTCCACACGGCCTTGGCCTACTTGGGAGAGAAGCTGGGGAAGGAGTGGAGGGAGGCAGGCCTTTCCTGTCCTCTATGTGGTCCTGGTCCTCACCACAGGACTCCTTATGCCTCTCAGAACCCACGGGGTGCAGCATGTATCCCTGGTGAGCAGAGGGCTCCTTATGCCCCAGGATGGAGACTTCAGGCCTCTGGGGAATAAGGCCGCCAGCACAAAATTAACATGAAAGGAAGCGGGTGTTAGGAGACCTCCCACCCTCTTGAACCAGCCCTGGGAGGGGCAGCTTTGGGCAAAGGCTGGCCTGGAGCGCCCCCTGGTGTTTTCCCACGGTCTTCCGGGCCTGACCCTCAACGGCCCTGGGCGCACAAGGATTCAGGGATGAGGACCTGCTGGATTCAACCAGGGCTGACCAGGCCTGGGCCTGGGGACACCACCTCCATCTTTTGGTGGACAGAGCTTGCCAACTAAGGCAACTGACCCTTGCCTGTTGGGTAATCAAGGTGGGAATAACCTGACTGGGGTGTGTTCCTTGGGTAGCCTATTCCTAGATTTTGGCACCCAAAAGCTGAAGTTCGTCTCCCAAAGGCAGACAAGTACATTCAAAATTATGGGCCGGTTTTAGCAATGGATGCCAAAGCCCCAGAAGTTTACTGACTATCTCTGGAGGCGATAATTGACTGATGATCTCCAAGGACCTGGGAAGGGGCGGCTGTGGGCCTGACGCTGCATGGGTGCGTGTGCATGTACTGGCCCAGGCGTGTCCACATGTGCGACTGTGCACAGTTGTGTGTGCCCATGTGCACTGAGTGTTGTACCAAAGCACAGGGGCCTACTGTTAAACAGCCCCAGAAAGAATTAAGTCAGCTCAGGGAAAGGCCAAGGATGGCTCTGGAGGAACACAGCCAGGGGGAGAGGGAAAAAGAGGTAGTCTCTGCAGACCCTAAGGGGCCCAGTGCCATTCTGGAGGCCCTGGGGACTCCCTCCCACCTGTGATGTCACTTCCTCTAGCATTTGCAGCCCACTTTAAAGTTTCACCCTTTGCTATGAACTCTGGGGCCCGTGGTGCTGAGTCCAGCCGTGTGAGGCCTGGGCTAGCCCTTCATCTACTGAGCTTCATTCCCCCAGGTGCAGCGGAGTTGGTCTCCAAGCCCTTTCACTTTAGGGGGCAGAGATCCCCAGATGTCTCTAGAAAAGGGTCTCCCCAATGGGGGTGCTCAGTCTCCCAGGTGCTCAGAGTGAGCCGCTGCCCCTGCCTTCGAGGATTCTGGAGCCGGCAGAGACCTGAACATCCCCTATGATCTGAGCACAGCCCTCAGCCCCTCGCTGACCCACCTGGAGGAACTGAGGTCCCGAGTGGAGACGTGAGTTGTCTGCAGTCACATGAACAGGAGTGTGCCGCACGGGCCATGGAGTCCAGCTTAGACATACCAGCTTGACATCCACCCCATGTCTCCAGTTCTTACTTGGGTCAGGGACTCTTCCTGTCCCTGGCTTCATGGTCATGATCACAGGGATCCAGGTTGTACCACAGAAGCTCTCAGAGAACTGGGCATGGAACCAACAGTGTTCTTCCCTCCCAACCTGGCTGTGAGGCTCTTTCAGGAGGCAGACCTGGAAGGGGGTCCTGAAGCAAAAATACAGAACTGAGGCCTCCTTGGCATGCACTACAGTCCTTCCCTCTGGGAATTACTTCAGAGAATGCCGATCTCAAAGAGGGGGAAACTGAGGCTCACAGTGGGGGTCACTGCTCACAATAGAGCACCCTGCTTTAATGAGGCCCTTCTCCTCTTGGTGACTTGGTGGTGGGCAGAAGTCTCTTCGATGTGAAGGAAAAGGAAAGGCCACCTCTGAACCCACCGTCCTGGGTGCACTGTAGAGAGCAGGCACGGGATGATCCCGGCTCACCACACTCAGTGCCCATTCACAGGATCTTGCTTACAGGGGTTAGGCCACCCGATGAGGGCAGGGTTCTCGTAGCCAGTAAGAAGCAGAGCCAGGCACCAAACCCCCACCTCTGGGTTCTGAATGGCACCAACCAGTCAGCAACCTTCCCCCCCCCCCCCCCCCCCCCCATTTAGCAGCTTGCCAGCCCTTTCCCACCCACTGAACTCACACCTGGGCACAGTCACTGCCACTGGCAGGCTCAACCCCCTGGACCCGGCCCCTGCAATGAGAGAGTGGCCTCCCTCAGCCCCTCTCTCCTCTGACTTTGTCCCCTCAGGAAGATGTGTGACCCTGGAATGACAGCCTTCGAGCCCGAGGCCCTGGGGAACTTGGTGGAGGGCCTGGACTTCCATCGATTCTATTTTGAAAACCGTGAGCAATCCCTTCTCTCTGGGTGCCTGTTGTCTGCTCTCGTTCTGTGACCTGCCAGATGGCACAGCAGGGTGACAGGCAGGGCCCCGGGGGCGGCTCAGGAGCCAGCGAAGAGGAAGAACAAGTGGACAGGGGTTGGTATCATCTTGATCCTTCTCCTAACCCTGGTCCGCGTGTGGCTGGGGATGGGGCCGGGGTGGGGGTGGTCTGGAAATGGGGTAAGCCTGACAAGGGCCTGGGGTTCCCCCTGCTTACTACTCTGGGTGGGGTCTGGGAAGCCTGAGTTCCTGTTTGAAGGATAAGGGGACTTGCCCGCTGGCTCAAACACCCAAGCTAGTCTCATGTTGGCCCTGGAGGCCCTGCTGGTCACTAGTTGGCACGTGTGTGGCCATGCAGTGTCCTCTGTGGGTGGGTATAATGGAGAGGGGGCGTCCGGGTCACACTGCTGTGCCCTGCCCGTGTGTCTAGGTCTCTGTCTCTGTTTGTCCTTCTGGGCCTCTCTGCAGGAATCACCGTGGCTTTGTCACCAGGAGCTGTTGGGGCTGGGGCTGGGGCTGGGCCTGACTGGGTGCTTTCTGCCTGTGTCTGTGACTCACCTGGGTCGAGGTTCAGGCAGACATGAGCCAAAGCACGTGGAGACTAGAGGTGTGTGTGCATTTCGGTGGAGACCCCGAGAGGAGGCACAACCAGGGTCCCCCAAAGGGAAGAGCGTATGCCGCTGAGGGACTGTTGGTTCATTGGTTCCTCCATGAGAGAAATGCTCTCATGGTGTTAGCTGAGGGGCAAGACTTAATGACTTGCCTCCTTATCAAAGAGACAGCCAGTCTCGTGGCCAGGAGCACGGAACTAGGGCTACAGAACTTTATTCCATTTTCCCTGGACTTACTACGAAACTTGTATTCTGTGATACTGGTTGTTCATTAATGATTATAACCAGAAAGTTTATTTTAAGATAATTATGTAAATTATAAAGTGCATCAATTTAAGGAAATATTTTCATGAAGTAAGTTCAGGTGGCATTTGAGGGAGGTCAAAGATGGTACCTATGTTACTAAGTGTGATTGAGTCGAACTCTCATGGTTCAGAAGGGGAAACTGAGACCCAGAGGGGGAAAGTGATTTGTCCAAAGGACCCAGACAGTCAGGACCCAGTCCTGATTCATGCCAGTGTTCCTTCATGCCCCGCGAGCCCCTGGTCCGCATGCAGCAGCTCCAGCAGGACACGCTTCTTGTCTTGCACCCCACCAGACTGAGTCTTACGAGCATAGAAGCTCAAGAGCACCCCCCAAAAGCTGTGAAGAAGGATGTTGCACGCACCCTTGATAACGCACACTCTAGCTCTCCAGGGTTATTAACATAGATTGGATTCTCTTGTGGAGAGAAGTGGGGGACTTTCCCAATCCCCAGAGTCACCTTGATGATGGCCAAGGTCAACTGCACACTGTCCTGTCCCCTGGGGATGCTGGTTCCCCAGAGTGAACTCCCCAAGCCTCACAGAGCAGAGCAGAGGCCAGGCTAAGAGCTGGCTGAAGGGGCACAGGGATGGCCAGAGGCCTCAACAGGGAGAGACGGCAGCTGACCTGGGCTCGTGTCAGCCCCTCGTGACCCTAGATCCCCTGGGCTGGAACATCTGGTCATATCAAAGGACCCACAAGAGCAAGACCCAAGTAACTGCTATTCTGGGCCAAGTCCCGTCCTCCTACCCCTCGTCCCTGAGGAAGACCTGCCTTTGTCCACCCTCGTTCTCAACTTAATCCCGAGGATGGCGGTTAGACTCCTGCCATCTATTCAAGAGATCCCACATGAAAGTGGTTGTTTCTCACAAATTTTCCTCAGGACCCCAATCTGTTCTTCCCCATGCACACACACACACACACCAGCAAGGCCCAGTGCTCTCAACAATGCTAGGTACTGTTTGTCCTTCTGGGATTGTTGTAGATTGCCCTCCCAGAGTCCTGTCTGGAGACTGACCCCTGCTAGGTTCCACTGCATTTATTTTAGGAATAGGCCCAGGTTGGGACAAGTCAGACTGCTTCTCTGGACCTCAGTTTCCAGATCTGTTAAATGGGTACATTAAACTAAAAGATCTTCCAGAAGTTTCCTGGCACTCTGTAGGACCTCTGAGGTCAGTCCCAAGCCTAGGATGCAAACAGCTGACATGCTCCCTGTTTATGAGCTTCAAGTTGTAAAAGCCCGTTTGTCTACATAGAAGACACTCGGAAATTGTGTGTCCTTTATACAAAGCCTGAGTGTAGTGCAATTATAATATTGGGGCTGTACTATTATTTGCTTGCTCTCTTGAACAAAAAGAAAAAGTATTTTACAGTTTTTCAAGGAGTCAGTGACTCACAAACCTGGCTGGGCATCAGAATCAGGGGGTGGGGGGAAAAAGTGTTTTGGGGTTTCCCCCTAATATTACAGGATCTCGAAGAGACATCTCTAAGGGTGGGGCTCTCCGTGGGATTTGAACCTATTTGGGCTACCCTACGGGAAGATAGGAGCTCCCCTTGACACCCAAGGTCTGGGTGATCCCTGACCAGCCCCTCCCTGGGTCATTGTCTCTCTGTGCTTTTGTTTTCTATCTTGCTGAAAAAAAGGGAGAGTTCCCAGAACCAAGTAATAATAATTAATAAGAAGAAGAGTGACACGTTTCACACAGCGGGCGCTGGTTTCAGGTACTTTTGTCAGCTTTGTCATGACTACAAGAGCTATGTGATTCCCTCTAGCTGTGGAAAGCACTATGGCTTCTCCCCAAGGCCACCAACACCATCATATGCTGTCAAGATTCTAAGGTCCTATGGTTTTAATATTCCCTGATCTTGTAAGCCTGTGGTGAAAGGGCTAATGAGAGGCCAATGGACCATATCTGGACTCTAGATATGTTTTGTGTGGCATGCGTAAAGTTTCACATTTCAACTAGCTACCAATCATTTGATTTCCTGGAAAAATAAGAAAGTGCAGCCACAGGAGTCTGACTCACAGCAACCACCGGAAGCTTTGTTACAGTGTGCTCTCAGTAGATGGGTCATGGTGGACTTTTAACCACAGTCCCCGCCACTCCCTATTGCATCCCTGTTCCAGAGACAAAGGGCCAGTTGTCACTTAGCACTTTATCCCAGCTTAGCTCTCGTGTTCAGGGAGTGATCTGGTCTATACGTAATTAATTCTCCAAATGGCTTCTATCTGTACCTCTGTGTGCCTGAGATAATGTGATTCTAAAATCCCACTCCCTTGCCTTCGAAGTATTCGGTGAGTCTGAAGTCCATCGTACGTAAACTGGGATATGACCTAGTCACCTAGCCCTTCTGCCCTAACTCCTAGGTAGCCAAGTCCTGTCACAGAGACCCCACCCCCGGCCATGAGACAGGCAGCAGTGTCTCCACTGAGAATCGCTGGGAGTTGGGGAAGGGAAGGAATTGCAGCCCAAAGTCCCTCTGTTCCATCTCCTCTGCCCCTCCCGTCCCCACCTCCAGTGTGGTCTCGAAACAGCAAGCCTGTGCACACCACCATCCTGAACCCCCACATCCACCTGATGGGCGACGAGTCTGCCTGCATCGCCTACATCCGCATCACGCAGTATCTGGACGCAGGCGGCATCCCCCGCACAGCCCAATCGGAGGAGACCCGTGTCTGGCACCGCCGGGATGGCAAATGGCAGATTGTCCACTTTCACAGATCGGGGGCGCCCTCTGTCCTGCCCCAGTAAGAACTCTTCCTTTTTCCCTCCTATATTTTAGGGTCACCTAAAGGAATGGGTGGTGTGGGACTTCAGGGGGGATGTGTTGGGGAGCCTGGCTGCTCAAATGCCTTGGGGCACAGGCAGCAGACCAGGCCTGTGGGTGCAGGGAAGAACGACTCAGACTCCCATCCAAGTACTGACCAGGCCCGACCCTGCTTAGCTTCCGAGATCAGACGCGATCGAATGCGTTCAGGATGGTGTGGCTGTAACCGACCTGGGCAGGCTCAACAGAGGTAGCTGACGCCACTGAAGGAGGTGAAGGGCGGGAAAGACCCCCTCGAAGTCCTACTTCTATTGTGTCTTGCAGTTGAAGGACCAGGCCGTGGGCGCTGGACCACAGAGATCCACTTTTTGTCTGAAGAATGTGGCTGCTGGTTCTCCCCTTTGGATTGTGCTGGAATCCCCCCACCCATCACCTCATCACCACCACTATCATCTCCATACCGGCATCAAGAAAAGCTGCCTGTTGGCAAAAGCCATCGTGACTTCACAGCAAAGGGCCAGCTCTCCCTGCCCCTCACTCCTCTCTCAATCTCTGGGTGGGAGTCCCTCAGGTCTGAGCGTCCCAGGCGCTGGCCCCTGGGGTGCCCACCCAAGTGTCGTTCTGGTTCTGCCTTGGCTGGAGGCTAGCATGCCCCGCTATGTGGTCCCCCGGGCCAGGGAGGAGGAGCAGGATTGTGGGCAGGGATATGGCATCTGTCACCCCTTCCCCTAGCTGCTCCTCTTCCCAGGTCCCCCAGGCAGGCAGTTAAAGCCCCAAACCCCGAGGCTTTCCCCTCCAGGGGAAGGTGTGGGGGCAACGGGCCCAGCAGTCTCCTGCCTCAAATTACCTCCCTAATTCTTCTCCATCAGGTCCTGCCCTCCCTCGGGTCTCCCCTTGACCCTTCTCCCTCAGTGTGGGGGGGGCGCGATCCTCTCAGGGTGCCCCCACTTCTCTCCTTCCTCCTGCTGATGTTCACCTCCACACTAACTGCTCATTCCACCGGCCGTCGGGCCTGGAGATTTCCAGCTTCATCACGTCTGAGGGAGAGAATTGGATTGTTTTGGGGGCAAAAGAAAGCAACATTTAGGTATCACTTCTACTTGGACCGCATGCCTTTTTATAGCCAAACTTCTGTGTATTTCGTAAATGGACTTTGCGTTAATGGATATTTCTGTAATAACTAGACCTCTCGAATTATTGTGAGCAGGGTGGGGTTGGGTTGGAAGGGGAGGTGGGGAGAGGGATGAGGGGTAGTTCTTTTTCCGTTCTAGGTCCTTTTTTTAATGTCATCTTTGAGATGGACTTTGTCACCTGTGGCGGCTCTCTGGGGCCGGGGCAAACTCAGCTCCCAGGAAAGGGCCGCACTGACCTCTTGGTCCTGAGCTTCCATTTGGAACTGTAGAAGCATCAGGTGTCAGGGCTGAGAGCAAACTGGGGCAAAGAGAGTGGAGGGGAGTGGTCGGGAGGCGACGTCTGGACTTCGCTCGCCTCCCAAATGGGGGTCCTTCCCACCATGCTTCCCAGGATTTCACCCCATCACCTCTGTGTGCCGCCCTCATGCCCCATGGCCCCCACCTGTCTTTGGGGTTCACGAGCATGTGTCTTCATCACTGCTCCCCTGGGTGTCTGCTGGTCCAGGCAGAGCCCCGGGGAGTTCTCTTCACGCTCATCCTGCAGCCGGGTCACATCTCTTTCTCCTCTCCTGCCTGGGACTGCCTCTGATGTGAAATGTCTGGGCACGTCCGCTGGGATCTACTATCTGCACTGTTTTCTTTGCATGACTTTATATGCAGTAAGTATGTTGAAAAAAAAAAGAAAAGAAGAAAAAACACTCAACAAAACCAATCTACATGTTTTGGACAAAAAATAGAGGTTGTATTCTCAGTGTCCGACTCAGAATTATGTTGCTGCCTCTCTGTGCTTTTGGCCTCTGTGTGGCCGTGTTTTGCCAGCATGAGATACTGTCCCCTCTGGAGGATTTTAGGGGAGCAAGAGCCACATCCCCAGGGATTTGGAGCAGGCTCTAGAGCCCCCGACCGCTAGGGGGTCCTGGGTGTTGGTTGGAGCAGGACTGGCAGGCCTATCTGAGCTTCCGAGTCCTCCGTGGCACCTGCCAGCAGGGCCTCTCAGTTGCTCCTGCCCGGGGCTCGGAACAGGCAGGGCGGGGGCTGCCGGCCGGGAAAGAGGCACCCAGTCTCCTTGTGTCCAGACTGGTCATCACTGGCCTTCAGCCTTGGCAGAGCCTCTGCAAACAAGCTCACAGGCAGGTACTTGGCCTGCAGGCCCCCCCAAAAGGCCTGGGTATGTCCCAGCAACAAAACTACCTGCCTCCCCATGAGACGCCAGCTCCCTACAGCCATCCTCTGGCCAAAGGTGAAGGTCTGGCCCTCACCAGGGATGAGGTAATTACCGAGGCTAAGTCTGGTCCCTTCTCCAGCCTCAGTTTCTCCCCTGAGGACTGCCTCCTGCCGCATGTTCCTGTCCAGCCTATGCTGCCAGATGGCTGGGACATCCAACCGGATGCTGTGGGGGAAGCCCAATGCACCTGTGAGGGCCAACAGGTTGGTCCCCGGCTGGACTCCTGTCCTCCTCCCCACCTGCCCGTCATTGCCCTCTTTGGTGCCTGTCAACCACTTAGCAGCAGTGACCGTGGGGAAAGGGCCAGGGCTTGGGGGTCCACAGAGGCCCATTCTCAGCTCTGACCAGACTAGCTGTGTGACCCCAGGCAAGTCCCTTACCCCTCTCTGGCCCTCAGTTTCCCCCAGAGGAAACTGAGCTGAGGACCCCAATGTCCAGCCTTTCACTTGCTGGCATGATTCCCGCCCACTGGGTCCTTCTGCAAGTGCCAGAGCAGTGGCAGCTGGTACCACCCCAGGCTGAGCTGGCCTCCTCGTGACGGCCGCGCCTGTGGGTGGGCAGTAAGCCGGTGTGGGCCACAGGGCTCCGGTGCCATCCCCAGGCAGCAGGCAGGGGAGACGGAGGAGAGGCGGTCCAAAGCCTACCCCCATGCCAGACTGCCCTCCTCCAAAACATCCTGTAGATGCAAAAACAATCCAGGCCTAAGATAAAGGCGAGGCTCGTTTACAGGAAAGTATCTTCCCGGTCTGCCCAGGTCTGTGCCCGCCCCAGGCTGATCTCCTGTCTCCGTCGGGGGGGGGGGGGGGGGGAGGGGAAGAGACCCTCTGGGGGGGGTGTTTGCCTGACTCCCCGTGCTGGTGTCTTTGTTACTATTTGTTTGGGGTTTTGTTTCAGTTTTTTCTTTTCTTTTCTTTTTTTAACATGTGGCTGTGAACTTGAATGACCACTGCTCAAACTTTCTGCTATGGGGGGAGGGAGGGAAGGGACATCTGTTTTATTCTTGGTGTTTTCAGTGCAATAAATAGCTACAAACTTCTGTGCACTGGCTGTCTCCTTGTTTTGGTTAAGTAGAAGTGTTGGGAGTTTTTGTTTCCCTTCTAAAACCCCTCCTTACAAAATCGGAGCTCCAAGCATCTGAATGGGTTGGTGCTGTGTTCAGGGCTAAGCCAATCTCTGTAGGATTATGTCTCACCCTCAGAGCCAGGGAGGAAGCTGGCTTCCTTTCTGTCCATGGAGTGCCCTTAACAGGACCACAGAGGTGGTGCTCACAGTGAGTGTCCTCAGAGGCTTGGGGCAAGTCTTGTTTCCAGGCCTCAGTTTCCCCTTGCGTAAGAAGGAGGATGCTCCAGAAGTCCCTCCCACCCCCTTCTCTTCTCTGAGCCCAACCTCACCTAACCACCAGCCTCAGAGCCCAGGAGGATGGCTTTAAAATAGGGGAAAAGGAAGGGTCTCTACCCACAAAACAGCTTGGACCAAGTGCCTGGGGTAGGACCTTTGGGGCCGGAGAGAGGGACAGCAGGAGAAGGGCCATTGAGCAGACAGAAGCCACTACGGTTTAGACCAGCTGGGTTCCCTGAGCAGCTCTGACACAGCCCAGTGGTGAAGTAGAAACTCTGGCCTTACTGGGGCCCTGACTGTCCCAGTTTGCTGACTTTCAGTGCTAAACTGGACAGTCCCAGCCAAACCCAAAGTGGCGGCCCAGGAGACTGGGATGAATGCAGTCCAGGAGATGTGCATCCTGTGGTTCACAGGCCCCCCAGGCCATGGTCTGGCCTTCAGACTCCAGAACAACAGCACAAGCCACTCCCGGCAATGACTGTCCTTGCTGCCAGGGGGTGGAGGAACAAGCCCTTAGGGCCTGTGCCCTTTCACATTGAGGACTTTCACAGTGAGAACAGAGGTCAGGGCTGCAAAGAGCAAGGGGCAGTTCGCAGAGGGACTTGGGTGCTGCCACTTCATTCTAACCTTGGAGCCTGCCAAAGCACCAGCCGGAGGTCCTTTCCCTGCCCTACCTGGGAGCCTGAGGGCTTGGGTGCCATTTCACAGGAAGACCAGCAGGTGGCAGCACGAGCTTAGGTTACAGGAGGTCAGGGTCTGGTGTGCCTGGGGCTTCCAGGAGACAGCCAGGGGCCTTCTTCAGTCGTCAGAAAGTGCCAGCTACACTCAACACATTATTATCACCTTCACCCTGGAGTGTGGTTCTTTGTAGCTTACAAAGTGCCTTCACACCTCTTGTCCCCAGGTCAACAACTCATTCTGAAGATGTGGACAATGAGACCCAGAGGCAGGGGCTCTGTGCCTACCGCAGGACTCTCCCCCTCCTGACCAGAGCACGGAGCTTCCTGTCCGGGCCTTCCAGATGCTGGCCTGAGTTCCCCTATCCCTGGATGGTCTGAAAAGAGCGACTGGCTTTCTGAGGGAAGCTTCTTTTTGGCCCTCTTTGCCTTCCAGCTGCCGACAGTGGTCTCCACCACTTCACTGTCCATTTACTCCAGAACCTGCCACAGGGAGCAGGTCCCCTCAAGCTTTGGCTCAGCGCATGGCTACACCTCCTCACTTCAGAAAGTCTCCCAGACTCCCTCTACTGGCATTCACCCCTTCTACGTGCCTGGTGTGAAGTCACCCAGCAGAGTGTCTATGAAGCTGTGTTCCTTGGAGGCTGGTAGCACCCTGTGGGGTGTATATTTTACCACTCTACATGGAACAGACCCTACATGTGTGTGCTGCTAGAATGAGGGGGGCTGCAGGGCTAAAGCAGCTCCTTCACTGCACTGGTGACACCCCCTTAACCCAGGGACCAGGCACAGCGACCTATTCATGTATGTTCTCACAGTCCTCATTCACCCCAGCATGGGGCACCACTGTCTTTTTCATCCAAAGAACAAGGAGACTGGTGCGAGATCAAGGGGCCACCCCAGGTGGCCCAGGCAGGAGGAGGAGGGTGGGGTTCAGATTTCCCAGATGGCTGCTGGGGTGCCTGCAGCCAGGCTGTGCTCCCAGGAGGCCCAGAGATGAGTGAGACCTGTCTTCTGTCCCCAAGAAACTCCGATGGCAACTTAGAGAGTGGCAGACCTATGGACACCCCAACTCAGGGCAGGCTGGCCTGGAGGTGCAGTGTGGAGGGCCAAAGAGAGGCGGAGAACATGAGGGAAGTCTTGAGGTTTCTAGGGGGCCTTGGTGAGGCAGCCTGGCAGCCTGAGATGAGGCGGGGAAATGCTGGGGAGCAGGGGCTGGGAGGTGGTCAGGTAGGACTGGGAGACGAAGCTGGGGAGACAGCAAGGAACGGCAGAGGGCCGGTGTGCTCTGAATCAGCTAACTATGGGTGCGCTTTTCTGGGGGCAGGGTGCCCCAAACACGGAAGTGGCCTCCCCCAGGGGCCCTAATTAGAGTTTTAGGAAACATCCCGGCAAACTCATGTTTGCCAAGGGCAGGACAGGGCCAGTTTTGTCCTCTGTGAACTCACCCTTCTCCCAGTCCCAGTCTTGGAGGAGCCCCGTCTTCCCTCACCACCTGGCCTGCCAGGGTCTCTGAGGTCACTTCCCCTCAGCAGCCTGGGCCCAGGCCCTGCCAGGAGTGGAAGGACTAGCATCATTCTTCTCCCAAGAAAGAGGGGACTAGCATCATTATCCCTCAGGACAACCTTGGGTGAGCCACTTCTCCTCTCCAAGCCTCAGTTTCCTCATTATTAGAATAACACTATGGTCCCCAAGTATGGGAACAGGCTGAGCGCAGCAGAGTCCTCAGGGAGTTTGCTGAAAGTCCAGATGTTTCAGGCCCCACCCTCAGAGAACAGGATACATTAGGGCTGGGCAGGGCTCCAAGCAGCTGTAGTTTTAGGAAGTACCAGCACCCCTTCCCTAGTTCCCACAGTCACACGGGGAGCTGGAAGGTGCCATTATCTGCCAGCCCCACCTGGCTCCCGCTGCTGCTCCATCAGCTCCCCTGACTCAGCTCAATCAATATTGACCTTCAGCCCCTCCCAGGTCCCCAGTACCCCCCACCCCTACCTTGAAGTTCTCTGGGGCCCTGACCCCAGGTCAGCAGAATCAAGGTCAAAGCAAGCTCGGGGGGGCCCCAAAGGGTTTTCCTGCGGCCCCACCCTCACCCTGCATTCTGGTTTGGCAGGGCACCCGGGCTTTCTGGAGAAGCCATCAAAGTTGTGGGTCATTCATTCTGTCTTGCAAGAGGAGAGAAACTTCCTCCCACCAAGCGCAGCCAACCCCTGAATCTGGTTCCAGAGATGCCCAGATGGCTCCCTCTGCAGCAATCCATGGCAGGGCCCTGTCACTGGCTGAACTGAGTGAGTAGGGCAGAACTCTGTCCCCTGAGGTACCTCTATGGGGAAGTGGTCCTGTCCAGCCCACACGATTTACAGACAGACACCCAGATTTACAGACTGAGACCCAGCCTCACAGAACCCTGGCATGGAACGGGGCCTCTTAGCCTGTCCCCGGCTCCCAGCAGCCCTGTCCCCGGCTCCCAGCAGCCCTCTGCCCACCACTCTTCTTCTCTCCGGACTGGCTGGAGGCAGAATCTGGGTGTCCACTCTCAGCCTGTACAAGGGATAGCAGCCAGTGAGAACCACCCCTCCTAGGGCGGGGGGCCCGTCTCATTTAATCCCCTGAAGGAGGAAACTGATTCTCCCCATTTCACAACTGAGGGTCTTCGGGTTCAGAGACGTGCAGGAGAGTTGGCTGGACTGCATGGTCCCCAGCAGTGGGGCTGAGACTGGGGTCTGACCAGCAGATGGCCAAGCCCCGGTTCCCTCCCACCACCATTCCCAAAGGGATACAGCTTGCAGACGCTGTGGGCTTTAGCAGGAAGAAGTTTTCTTCCACACACACACACCCCCCCCCCCCCGCCACCGCCAGTGACCTTGGATGGGGGTGCTGGGAGGAAGACTATGGGGTGGGGACCTGTTCCATCTGTGGTGGTGGAGAAGGTCGAAGCAGCAGGAGGTCAGCTGGATGGAGCAGGCCATGCCAGCCAAGGATCTGCTGGGGATAGTTGCCCTTCCAGGGCAGGACGCCCTGGGCTGGGAACAGCCTAAGAGAACAAGCCCAGGGGAACAGCCCAGACTCCATGGAGACAAGCTTGCCATGAGCCACCAGAAAAAAATGAGTCTGGAGAAAAGTCTACCGCAGACAGAGGCCCAGCAACCAAAGGTCACATGGCCTTCAGGGAGGCTGGGGCCAGGTTAACTCTTCGCTGACTGGCCCCAGAGCCAGCTGCACTAGTTCAATGCCCTGAGGTGCACGGCTGTGAGCTGGCACTGGGGACCCTGAGGCTGCAGCGAGAGAGGGGAGAGGCGGGAAGGGCCCTGGGTCTGGGTGGCTGAGCAGCCCTAGGCCTCCTGCCACACACACGCTCACCGCTCACCACGGCACCCTGCCGCCTTCCTGGGCTCACCCCATAGGAGCCCTAACTGCTCGGAAATGAACCCTGTTGTCTCAGGAGTCCAGAATTGCCCGTGCTGTCAGGGTTCGGGGGTGCAAGGCCTAGCCAGCCCCTAGTCCACACATCATAGGGGACACAGAAGACATGGAGAGGAGACCAGAAAGATGGACAGGACTCCAGTGGGCGGAGGACGAATGCTCTGGACGGGGGAGACTGCACTGACCCCGTTTATAAGATAAACTTGTCTGGGCTGGAGGAGGGGGTCAAGGCGGCAGGGCCTGCTGAAGACAACACCAAGGCGGTCAGTATGATGGCTGGTGTTGCTGACCCTCCCCTGACCTGGGGAAAGGCTGACCCCCATGGTGTGGTGAGAAGCCCCATCCTCGTCTGCTCTCCCTGACCCCAGGCTGGAAGTGCTGCGCACCCCACCTCAGCTGTTCTCTGCCAAGTTCCAGAATAGGCACCATCATGACACGCACCCCCCCCCCCTCCCACCCCCCCAACCCCGCCAACCCTCCAGGCACCTCTGTCACCTCCTAGGATGTTCACTAACCTCCAGGTTCAGGAGTCTAAGGGTATGGCCATGCCAGGAAGCGGAAGCAAAGCCTGAGGGTGGGGATGGGCTGCAGGGGCTCCTCTCAGCTCCAGCGAGGCTAATCTCCTAAACCCAGGTTGCTAATCTCCTAAATGAGCAAAGCAATGGACAGGAGGAAGGCCTTAACTGACCCTTGCTATTTTACATCTTTTGAGTCAGCTGCTCGCATTCAAAAATGGAAACTTTCCCATAAAAATCCAGACTTGCAACTTCTCTTAAAAAGTGGGGGCATCCACCTCACCCCAGTGAGAATGACACATCTTCAAACAACTAGCAACAACAAATGTTGGAGAGGATGTGGAGAAAAAGGAACTCTCCTGCACTGCGGGGGGGAATGCAAACTAGTACAACCACTATGGAAAACTGTTTGGAGGTTCGTCAAACTGCTAAACACGGAGCTTCCCTACGACCCAGCAATCCCACTCCTAGGTATCTACCCAAAAGACAGAAAAACACTGATTGAAAAAGATACCTGTACCCCCATGTTTATTGCTGCTTTATTTACAATTGGAAAAACATGGAAGCAGCCCAAATGCCCAAAAGTAGATGACTGGATAAAAAAGATGTGGTACATATATACAATGGAATATTACTCAGCAACCAAAAAAGAGAAACACATGTCTTTTGCAGCAACTTGGATGGAGCTGGAAAAGATCATGCTTAGTGAGATAAGCCAGAAAGAGAAAGAAAAATACCGGATGGTTTCACTCATAGCAGGAGTATAATGGACCAGGCGAGAAAATAACAAAAATAATGAACAACCATATACCAGAGACATTTTGTGGGGGTGGAGTGGGGAATGGGATCAAAAACGGGGAGGGGGGAGAGAAATGCACAGGATTATGGTGATGGCACACAGGTGACTTGGTGATGGGAAACCCGCGGGGATTACAATTGAGATGGAAAAAAAAATGTACAAAATGATGTAAAAATAAACTTTTGTAATAAAAAAAAAGTGGGGGTATCAGTCAACCTGGCTCACGCTTCAGAGGGGTCAACTCCCCTTTAAGCGAGGGAGTTCTTGGAGCCTCCTTTTAGCCAAGAGGTTAAAGCGCAGCACTATGAAGGTATGTATGGCCACTGCAGTGAGTTCGATCCCTGGTCAGGGAGTTGACCTGCAGGGTGCAGCAGTCCTCTCCTGACCCACCCTCTGCTCCCCTCAGCAGTGGATTTTGGTCAATCCGCCTGTTCTGTTCCCCTCTGTCTCTGGTGAATCCTCTCAGCCCCACCCCAACCCCACACTTCTGGCCTACACCTCAGCTCTTGTATGCATAAGTAAATAAATCTTTTTTAAAAAACAGAGGTGTGGGGGGAGGAGTTCTCTTCAATGGCTCAGCACAGTCCCTAAAACTCCCTCTTATCTCTTCAACTGTCTTCAGGATCAGAGGCCACTTACTCTTGGGCTCCACTCAAAGCTTTGTTCTCTCTGGTAGGCACTGGGTTTGCCCTCCCAGGGCAGCCCAGAAGGCAGGTTGGGCTTCTCCAGACAGGGCTGATGTTTTGAGGTGCCTACTATGTAGTTCTGGTTCCTCCAGCTAGGGCTCCCTGGTGCCCAATCAGCAACATGGCAGTGGGGTCCTGGCTGGCATTTGTTCTGAGGAGGTAGCAGGATCGCTTGGGGATGGTACCGGCAGCAGAGGGAGAACTGTGGCGTGGCAGGAAAGGCTGTCTGGGAGCAGGGGAAATGGGCGAAGTAGGACAGACTGGAAGGCTGGGTCAGGCGGCCTGTCTGTCTGGGAACTACAGACCCAATGGCAGGGAGTGAGCAGGGGGCGGGGAGGCTGACAAGGAGCCAATCCTAGGATCCTTCAATCCTGGCTCCCAGGAGGCCGGCAGCAGCCCAGCTGAGGCTGGGTGAGGAGTGCACACTAGCCAGGCAGGCGGAGCACAGAGAGCACCTCTCTCCAGAGTAGAGGCTCATGGGGACTCTCCTGACCAGCACAGGGCTTGCAGGGGTCTGTTACTGACGCTGGCGCATGCCGCCCCCACCACCTCCCCACCAGTGTGGGCAAGTACCCTGAATTGCCAAGATCACCCTTGCATCCACCACAAATTAGCAAGCCCATCTCTCTTCTCCAACCTCAAAGCCAAACAGAGGACAAGAGAGGGCCTGGCCCTTGTGAGGGGGAATTTATTAATATCTGAAATATGCAGAGGTCCTGCCTCCCGTCTTGAATCAAAGCCTTTGTAAATACCCCAGACTGGAATCTGAAAGGCCCTGCCCTCTTTGATAAGGCGAGATCCTGCCAGGAGAGGGTGGGGGAACCAGAAATCTCTCCAGCCTGAGAACTGCCGGCCCTCATCTTCCAGCTCCAGCTTCATGCAGGGCCGCTGGGGAAGGAAAGGGCATCCTGGTGTGTCACCTGGCTCCTCCTGCCTCCGCCGGGTGACCCGGAGCAAGTGTTTTCTGGTGGTGGACCTCAGTTCTTCCGGATGAATAAGAGGGGACGAAGGGGCCTTGCCGGCCTTCCTTGTCTCTTATCTCGTCATCCTTCCCCACCTCCTCTTCCCCCACTGCCATGGAGAAATGGCAGAGACCAGAAAGGAGGCTCGGGTCCCAGTGTGCCCAGTGGGACCAGCATGCCCTGTGCTGCCCGCCTCAGGGCGCTCGGCGGCAGGAGACAGGCCAAGGAGGGTGATCTCACCGGTGTTTATTAACAATAAGCCAACAGGACACAGATGGGCTGGGGAGACACCAGGAGCCGGAGACCTGGCCACGCACGTGCAGATGGCGCAGCTGTTCGCTCGCCTGCTCCCAGGGAAGCAGGGATCCAGGACCAGCCCGCCGGTGGCCTGCCCGGGGCGGAAGGTGCCAGGGCTCTGCCACAGGCCGGGGCTGTCAGCGGCCCCTGTGCTCTGCGTCTGTCCTCATGCCCACCTCCAAGGGCCCACGTCCAGGAGCAGTGGCAGCCTCAGGACCAGACGGCCACACGGTGGACCATCTCCCAGCAATCAGTGTCCTGGTCACCCACCGCCAATTTCCCAGCAGTGGCTGGAGCCAGAGGGCACAGTGAGGGCCACCAGGATGAAGGAGAAGGGAAGAGAGGGGAGCCCTGTTCCTGACTGTGTCCCCCAGTTCCAGCCTCTGCAGATGGCATGGGTCTGGCTCCCTCTCATGCCTGAATTGTACGCTGGGCTCCCTGCACTCGGGAGCATGGGGGTCCAGTGAGGGAAGCTGTGAACCTTTCTCAGAAGGGAGAGTGGGGGTCCTCCTTTCTTCCCCCCTCCCAAACCTAGCTCTGGCCACCAGCCCCTCTTGCCTGCCTTCTGCAGGTCTCCCGCCTCCACCCTGTGCCTGGCCCTGACCCAAATATATTTTACCTACAGCCTAACCAGATCATGCAAACCCCTGCCCACCCCACTGTCCCTGGACCCCTGTCCCGACCAGGCTTCATCCCCATGGGACCCTGCTGTCACTGTCACACCCACGTCTCCCGCCTCTCCCTGCCTCCATGCCTCGGTAGATGCTCAGGGGAAGCAGGGACCAGCAGCCTAACCTCCACCTGTGGGCTGGGTCCACTCCTCACCAAGGCCATCTCCCCTCTTCCTCTCTCTGAACTTTCTGGGCCCTCAGTCCCCCTTCCTTCAGGAAGCCTGGAGGTCACCCTGGCATGTGGCCCACAGGACTCCTCCCACTCGACTTGCTGAAGCCCAATGCCAGGGGCCTCTGGAGCCCAGTGTCCCTGCCATCTCTGGCTTTTTGAAGTATCAGGCAGGCTCCCCAGAGAAGGGGGGCTCTGAGCCCCTTCTAAACAAAAATGCAGGGTGATACCCGTGGCCACATGAGAAAGGAAGCTAGCTGGTCAGGAGGCCTGGCCATGTGACCTTGGCCAAGTCCCTCCTCCCTGGCCTCAGTTCGTCCATCTGCAAAGTGGGGGCTGAGCTGAACCATCCTCAGCTTTGAATGGGAGTGTGTGTGTGTGTGCGCGTGCGTGCGTGCGGGTGTGTGTGTGTGTGTGTGTGTAGACAGACAAGTTTCAGGAGAGGCAGAGGCCACGAGGAGGGATTTGCACTGGGGGACCAGCATCAGCATGGCAACCTCCCACAGCCTCGGACCCCTCAGAACCCAGGGGCACAGCTGCCCCCTGTGGCCAGGGCCTCCTGCCCACCTGCCTCCTGCCTCACATCATAGATTCTTCCTCCTCGGCCATCTCTCGGTCCACCTCGATGGCAGTGTTCTCGAAGCTGGTGATGCCCCCATATTTGCGCATGTGCACCATCAGCGGCTTGGGTGACTGGCTCCCGGCCAGGGTGGCCACATACATGCCTGTCCGGTTCTCCTCCAGTGATGGGCCCCAGTCCATGGCCGGCCGACTGGCCTGCTGGAGTCGCTGTGGTGGAGCAAGGACAGCAGTGAAAAGAGCCAGGTCTCAGGGAGTGTTCTCCAGGGTCAGGCACCCAGCAGACACCCCAACACACCACCTGATTAGTCTTGGAACAGCTCGGGGAGAGTGAATATAGTACTCGCACTTTCCCAGGGAGTTACGCCATACCCAGGGGAAAACCCTGCAAGGCCCCTTACAAGTTGGGTGACCTCTGAGCACAGAACATAGCTCTACTTCCTTCTCTGTCAGACGGGAATCATGACCCTCTCAAAGGGTTGCTTGAAGTCTGGTGTGCAAGGCCCGGGCCTGGCCAGCCTCCATATTCAAACACGGAGACCCTTGTGGAAATGTACAGGAACATGCCGTCCACCTGTCACTGGCAGGGTCCTCTCACTGAGGGGGTCCCCACCACTTCCCCACAGCCTCTGTGTCCCAGCCCTGCTTCTCTCAGTGACGACAGCTCTGCCACTCTCCCTCCAGCCCCTCTGATCTTCTGCTGTCGATTCCCTAACAGGCAACCTCCCTGCCTCAGGCCTTTGCACGGATGCCCTCCTGCCTGGATGCTACTCAGGTACCCTCGTCAACTTGGTCAGGTCTCTGTCACCTTCCCGGAGAGGTCTCCCCCTCGCCACCCTGGCCGGAACACTTACCCTCCAACTCTGTCTATTCCTCTGTTTCAAGTATCATAGTAACCACCACCTTGACTGTTTCTGTGTTCATTCTTGGCCTCGTTAAAACACAAGCTCCCAAGAGCAAAGACTTAGGTTTGCATCCAGCTGAATGCCACTGCCCAGGCCGAGGTTTCTAGCCTGAGCGTTGCTGACAGCTTGATCTGGAGGATTCCTCATGTGGGGCTCACCCCTGGGCATGAGGGGAGGTTTGCCCACAGCTGTACTCCCAGCACCTGTATCCTGTCATGACCATCAGAACTGTCTCCAGACACTGCGGAATGTCCCCTGGGCGATATCACTGGGGAGAACCCCCAGCTGGGAACCCAGAGCTCACGTGTCTCAGGCTGTGCCAGCGCAGGTTTATCTAGTGTGTCTCCCTACGGGACAGTTTCTGAGAGCAGTGTTCAGAGAGGCTCACTGAGCGGGGCAGCAAAACACTAGCACAAGCGGCAGCTCAGGGGTCCAAACCTGGGCAGCCCGAGCCCATCGGAACCTGTTCAACCTCTGACTTTCTGGCTCTCCCAGGGCTGACAACATTGAGAAGCTGCTTTCTTCTCCCCCTGGGGTGGGGGGCCCTGACCTCATGTTAATGCCAGAACCCCAGGCTCAGAGAGGCACCTTAGCTGGCTTGGGTCATGTCAGATGGCGGACCTGGGGTTCCGGGGCGGGGTCAGTGGTGGACCTGGTCTGTGAGGGAGCGCCCCTGAGCTGGAGACCCCAGTAACACACCCCTCTCCCCGCTGTGGGTGCGGTGTAGGGCAGGAGGAAGGCGAGCAAGCTGGGGAGCCCGGAGCTTCTGGGAAGCTGGACCCCTACCCGAGCAGCGCCCCTCCTTGTGGCCTCGGCACACTCTGCTCCCCAACACAGACAGACAGGGCTCTGGAGGGGCAAAGGAGGGCGGGCCTGGCCCGCTGCGCTTAGAGGGCTGAGCTCCGGGACTCTGGGGGTCTGGGTTGTGTGGCCACAACCCAGTGCTGCCAGGGAAAGATTCTAGCTATCTCCAGGTAGAAGCGGGATGAAGGGCAGCCGAGCCAGGGGGACAGGGGCCCGCAGGTGCAAGGTCTGGTTTGTAGCCAGCTTCGGGGATGGGAAGATCCCCCAGTGGTGTCCATTTCAAGTGGGCCACAAGCTTGCTGAACATTTAACAATAAGCACGTGTGAAACAGCCTCGCTGTCTCTGCACACTTCCTATGGGCATGGGGGGTGGAACTGAGCCCCAGGCTCTCCTAAGCCTAGCAGGCTCATTCAGCAACATGTCAGCAGGGGAGGACCCACCCCAGCTCAGCCACACAGCATCACTGCTTGTCCACACCCCCACCCTGCAGTCAGACTCCCCTCTTCTGAGGCAGGTGATCCCCACACCTCACAGCGTGTACTCTCTGTGCTCCTGGCAGGGTTCACACCTTTACCCCATTCCTAGGTCCCCTGTGGGCTACAGCAAGGCTTCTGGGCTCAGAAGAAGGGTGACAGCCCACCCTAGGGAAGGTGGGGACCCGTGTTCAAGCCCCATCACTTACCTGACTCACCGTGAGCCTTGAGCAAGACACTGGTCCTCTCAAGTTTCCCCAACATATGTGGGCACCGGCCCCCATCAGTGGTCTTTGGGCTGTGCCACCTGCCCTCTGAGGGCCATAGGGGTTTAGGGGTACAAGGCAGAACTCTAGCTCCAGACCTTTTCAGGCGGGTCTGAGTTGGTTCATAGCTCAAACTTCCAGTTAAATAAACTGCAGATCGGGCCCTCCCTGGTGGAGCAGCAGGTTAAAGCACAGCACTGAGAATCTAAAGCCGCTTCCGCATGAGTTCGATTCCCGCCCGCCCCGGAGGTGACCACATGG